AGGCCCTCTCGGGCCACCATGCTTTTGCATATGCTGTCCCTGGTCCCGGAAGCACCCTCTGCCAGCCTGTCCCCAGCACACGCCTAATTGCCCTTCCATGCTCTGCCTAAGTGTCTCTCCTCTGGGAGTCCTCCCTGCCCAGAATATTGTTGGACACTCCCGCCATGTCGCCATGGAGTCTGTACATATCTGTGCCATGCCAGTTCACAGCACCCCATTGTAACTGTGTTTGTGTGTCTGTCCCCGTCACTCCACCCCCATCTCCCTATGCCCATGAGGCCCCAGAGGGCTAGGACCGTGGCTTATTCATTTGCAGAGTGCCTGGCACTCAGTAGGGGCTCAGTGAATGAATGAATGTGGAATGTGGTTCTCACAGCCAGGGAGAATGGGATACCAGCCAGGGCAAGAACAGTCTACTGGGTGGGGCAGGATCCAGGATAAGGAGGCGAGCAGCCCTTCCTCTGGCCACTCAAGCAGTGGGGACTGGGAGGAGGGGCGCTTTGTCTACACAGTCCTCCTATGGCCCATCACGGTACAGACAGGGCACCTGCCTCCTGCCACGCTGACTTCAGTACTGGTTGAGCCCCAGGGAACTTTTGCAGGGCAGCCCAACTTTGGCCCTGGCCCTGACCCTGGGGGTGACAGAAAGTGTGCTGGATACAGTCAGACAGAACTGGCTGCCGTTTTGGATTTGGTCCCTTCCACCTCGGCGAGCTTGGGCAAGTTGCTTAATCTTTCTGAGCCTCATTGCCTCGCCAGGGACACAGGAGCTGAGGCTGCTTCCCTCATTGGAAAGCACTGAAGCCCAGGAATCGACCCACAGCAGGCCTTCAACAAATACCCCTTCTCACCTTACGGGTGAAATATGGCACTGAAAGTAACGCTCTTGGCTGTGGGAGCTACAGAAAGCAGTGAGGACTCCAGCAAACCCAGCCTCCTCTCTCTGGAGAGGAATCAATGGGGATACCCTCCCCCCAACCCCAAAGCCCTGTGCACCTGGGGGTAAAAATCTGGGGGCCAGGGGCTCAGGAAGGCTTGCTTGGGAGAAAGAGGGAGCCGGGTGTGTCTGGGGAGGCATTTCTGAGCACAAGAGACTCCCTGGAGTTCTGCCATCGTCTCTTCCCGTTCTGTGGTGCCCGCGATAACCACCGTTCTGACTCTCCTCACCCCTCCAGCCTCCCGGCGTGTGGCCTGCCAACCTGGCTCCCATTGTAAGTCTCTTGCTTTCTTTTTGGATCCTCTTCATTTTGGCTCTTCTGGGCTCATGGAGGAGGCGGGGCCAGGCATTGGGCCTCTCCCATTGGGAGTGGGGAGGGCAGAGGCCAGGCCCTTGACCGTCTGCCCGGCCTGGCGAGGTGGGGGGTTGGATGTGGTTGGCTGGCCGTGATGAAACAACCTGAGTTGCCAGCCTGTGGGCAGCCACGGAAGACCGTGACCCACATTCCCTTCTCCCACCTGCAAAGGGAGGCTAGGCTGAGAGACGTTTCCCTGAGAGGAAAGATGGGCCAGAGCCACCAGCGTCCCCATCTGTCTTCTCCAGGGTTCTAACCTTTGCCCTCCCTCATCCCCTTGAGAGAAGAAACAGCTGGACCCACCCTCTGTGGGGTCTGTGGGGCCATTGGGCTGATTACGCCCCCTGGAGGTGCCTGCCGTGTGGCGCCCTCTGGTGGGAGCTGGTGGCCTTCACATGGGAGAGCCTGAGTGAGAACTGGTTTCTTTCCTCTAGACCCAGACAGTCATCCACACGGTGCAGAGCGCCCCTGGACAGATGTTCTCTGTAAGTCTACAAGTTCTGGCCAGTTCACAGCTGGACAATGTCCTCCTTCACCAAGAACTAAACTCCCTAGAGACCTAGAGTCAGGAAGAAAGCAGTTTAGCAAGGAGGATGGGGACATCTGGGGCTGAGTCCTTGGCACAGGTGACATGTGGCTAAAGCTGTTCTTGGGACAGCAGAGATTCTGGAAGAAGCAGGATTTATCCATTGGTGGAAAAGGCAGGTCCCCTAGAGACCGGGAGGGAAACTGGTCCACCTGTCACCAAGTGGGGAGTGCAGTGGCCCCAGCACCCGAATGTGAGGCTCCTGGCCCTGCATCCTGCGTCCCCGGGATGTCACTACAGATCACAGGCTTAAGCTGTTCTCCTGATGGTATAAATCAGGCCGGAGGCTTAGAATTAGTGGGGCTGCCTGTGGAGGGGTTGAGGGGCAGGTGACCGTGGTGGGGTCCGGGAACACGGCAGGAAGTTCCAGGAAGGCTAACATGAAAAGGGAGGTGGACGGGAGAGTCCAAGGGCCAAAGCCTCACGAGATCAGCCTCACAGTGGAGGCCCCTCTGGAATGCGTGAGTGCACGTGGGTGAGTGCTCGTGCACACATGCGCTCTCCCATTGAATTTCCTGGTTTCTTTTCAACAGACTCCTGCCCTCCCACCTATGATGTACCCCCACCCCGCCTATGTAAGTGGCTTCTCAGGGAGGGCAGAGGTTCTGTTTGTGGTGGGCAGGCTGGGGGTGAAGAGCCACTGCAGGGGTATCCACTGGCCTTGCAAAATGAAAAGCGGTCCTTTGGTAAGCTGAAGGGCTTCAAAGCATCCCAGTGAATTAGAAGACTGTAGAGAGGAGCTTTCAACCTTAAAACTGTCATGTCAATGTGAGCACATTGCATGGCCCTCCCTTTTCACTCCACGAGTCTTGTTGTGTTTGGCCAAAGTTCCTTTCGTGACACTAATCTAAGCCCATGAATTTGAGGAGCACTGGAAAGTTCCTTTGGCTTTTACGGAACCAAGTAAAGCTGTCACGGGCTTCTTCTCAGCTGACAGCCCAGAGTCATGGGAACTGGTACAGTCCTCCCCTTCCGTGTGGCGGCTGCCCTGGCTGCCACTGGCTGCTCTGTCCCCCTTCTTCCCACAGCCAGTGCCTTTTGTCACCACCATTCCGGGAGGACTGTATCCATCCAAGTCCATCATCCTGACGGGCACTGTCCTGCCCAGTGCTCAGAGGTAAGGCAAGGGGTCCAGTGACCTCTGGGAAGAGAGAGTCCTTCAAGGTCATTCCAGCCATTCCCCTGGCTTCGGGCAGGCTGCAGATGATGGGGAGGAAATGGGGCTCAGAACTCAGAGGACAAAGCTTCAGGTGGGCCACCCACCCCAGGTTCCACATCAACCTGTGCTCTGGGAGCCACATCGCCTTCCACCTGAACCCCCGTTTTGATGAGAACGCTGTGGTCCGCAACACCCAGATCAACAACTGTTGGGGGTCTGAGGAGCGAAGTCTGCCCCGAAAAATGCCCTTCGTCCGAGGCCAGAGCTTCTCGGTGAGGCACCGCAGTCTGGAGCTCGGAGAGGCTCCTACGGGTGCACAGGGGGAGGGGTAAAGGAGGTCTGGGGTGCCTTGAACAGGATGGGGGCAGATGCCTCTGGGATGAGGACCCAGAAGAAGAGAAGGTGGCCAACAAATTATTATTATTATCATTATTTTCCTGCATGAAGGAAGTGTTGGAATCTGCTTTTTCAGATGAGGAAAGAAACTCACAAGTGCAGGTTACTTGCTTGCGGTCACACAGCCAGTAAGTGTCAAATCAGATCCAAGAAGGAGGTGTTTTTCATTTCTTCACTTATTCATTCAACAATGATTTTCCTGTGGCCCGCTTTGTGCAGGAAGCAGCCCGCGTGCTGGGGGCGCAGTCATGAAGCAGGCAGACCGGGTCCTGCCTCCAGGGAGTTTACAGTTTAGGTGGCGAAGGAACAAGGAAAGTAAAGCATGGACAGATTGTCACAGATAACGACAGTGCCACGCACAAAGCAAAACAGAGCGATGAGATAGAGACAGCCTGGGAGGGGCAGCGAGGGCCAACGTGCAGAGGCACGGGTGTGGCCTGTCCAGGAACAGCAGGCAGGCGTGTCCGCCCTGACTACACATTCAAACCACCCAGGGAGCTTACAAAGGAAATATCAGTGCTGGGGCCCCAGCCCAGGCCAGCGAGGCGGTCAGCTGGGCATTCGCATTTTAAAAATATGCCTTAAGTGATTATACTCTGCAATCAGAGTTGAAAATGGCTGATGTAGGGCTTTGCAGCCATGGAAAGGAGCTTGGATTTTAACACAGTGAAAAGCCACACAAGAGTGTTTCAAGCCAGGGAGCAACATTCTTTGATTTGTGGACAGCTGTGTGACCTCGGGCAAGTGACTTAACTACTCTGTGTTTCACTTTCCTCATCTACAAAATGGAGTTGATAATCATATGAGTCTCCTAGAGTTGTAAGAATGGAATGAGACAGTATCTGTAGCATGCGTAGGACAGTGCCTGGCACATGGCGTGTGTGATAGGAGTGTTAGCTATTGCGAAGGAAAGGAGGTTTTAACATTTGTACCCTGACTGCCTCATGGAGAAGGCAATGGGGTGGAAAAGACAAGTTAGGAGGCTGATGCTGCAGGAGCCCAGGCCCGGAGCACTCCTGTGTGCTGGGCCCGAGGGATGCAGACACCACAGGCCACCGCTCCCGTCCCTGATGGGGTGGGAACAGTATTGTAGGCCAGGGAACAGTACAAGGGAAGGAGCACGCACAGCCTGTTTAGTGAAGCGTCGTCGCTCAGTGGGGATGGAGCGCAGATGAGGGGCTTATTAACGTCTGAGGAGGGAAGGAGGGAGGGAGGGAAGGAGGGAGGGAGACAGGAGGCTGCAGTGTGAGTGGAGGACTTCCCAAGTGTAGTGCAAACGGCATGATCTCTGCACAGGTGTGGATCTTGTGTGACGCGCACTGCCTCAAGGTGGCCGTGGATGGTCAGCACCTGTTTGAATATTACCATCGCCTGAGGAACCTGTCCGCCATCAACAAACTGGAAGTGGGGGGCGACATCCAGCTGACCCACGTGCAGACATAGGCGGCTCCCTGGCCCTGGGGCCGGGGCTGGGGTGGGGCGCAGTCTGGGTCTTCTCATCATCCCCACGTCCCAGGCCCAGCCTTTCCAACCCTCCCTGGGATCTGGGCTTTAATGCAGAGGCCATGTCCTTGTCTGGTCCTGCTTCTGGCTACGGCCACCCTGGAACAGAGAAGGCAGCTGACCGGGATTGCCTTCCTCAGCCGCGGCAGCACCTGGGGCTCCAGCTGCCCAAATCCTACCACCCCAGGAGGCGGGCACAGCCAGGGAGAGGGAGGAGTGGGCAGTGAAGATGAAGGCCCATGCTCAGTCCCCTCCCATCCCCCACGCGGCTCCACCCCAGTCCCAAGCCACCAGCTGTCCACTCCTGGTGGGAGGTGGCCTCCTCAGCCCCTCCTCTCTGACCTTTAACCTCACTCTCACCTTGCACCCTGCACCAACCCTTCACCCCCTCCTGGAAAGCAGGCCTGATGGCATCCCACTGGCCTCCACCAACTGACCGGAGTTCAGGGGACTGGACTCTTCAGGGGACTGGCTCCTTTCCCAGTGTCCTTAAAATAAAGAAATGAAAATGCTTGTTGGCACATTCATGTGGGTTGACTGTGGCTGCTTTAATTCATTTGGAGACATTTTGGAGTCTGTGGAATCGGGCAGGGGTGCTGCTGAAAGGAGTGGGACGGGAGAGCATGGACTCCCTTTGGGCAGGGGGTCCTGACCTCCCACCTCCTCCCAGAGGGTGTTGGAGAAAGCAGGCTGGGGCTCTAGCCTTTTGGGCAGGAGTCTCGGACACAGGAAAGGTGGTCATGGGGGACCCCAGGAAACAGCCCCAGGCCTCCAAGATGGGAGAGAGGCTGGGGCAGAGCCTGTGAGGGCCACAGCAGGGCCAGAGCTGGCTCCTCAGACCTGGCGTCCCAGTGGGAGGAGGTGGCTTGGGGAAGGGGTGTCAGGAGAAGCCGATCCAAAGCACCGTCTGGGTGTGTGTTCCATTGTGGGTCTCCCTGGCATTAGGGGTTAGGGCTTGTGTGGGAAAAGTGGTTCTGTGTCCATGTGTGGGGTTCTGCCAGCCACTGGGCCACCACCAGACAACCCAGCTCCATGTCCATGTGATGCCAACACATCCTGCTCAACCCAGCAAGAATTCAGTTCCTCAGGCCCCAGTGTAGTCTTCGGAGCGGTGGCACCAGCAGCAACTGGGAGCTTGCTGGAAACGCGGCATCCTGTGCACCCCCGCCCCCTCCACACACACCTACCTAAGAGATCAGAGTCTTCATTTTCACAACACCCCAGGGTGTCGTGTGAAGCTCACCTCAGGCAGATCACCTGAGGTCAGGAGTTCGCGACCAGACTGGCTAACGTGACAAAACCCTGTCTCTAGTAAAAATAAAAAATAAAAAAAATTAGCCGGACGTGGTGGCAGGCACCTGTAATCTCAGCTACTCAGGAAGCTGAGGCTGGAGAATTGCTTGAACCCAGGAGGCAGATGTTGCATTGAGCCAATAGATAATGCGCCATTGCACTCCAGCCTGAGTGACAAGGGCGAAACTCTGTCTCAAAATTAAAACAAAACAAAACAAAACACAGCACAACAACAACAAAAAAACAAACCTGGGAAGCCCTGGTACAGGAGTGGACTCCTGGCCGTGTTGCTGAGACACACAGCTGTTGCGCAGGGCACAGAGCTTTTCTGGAGTCTGAGGTTGGTAATGCACCTTCTCCTGCCACCTGAAACTCTGCTGCTAGAAATGGGAGGGAAGAGACAGGGGCAAAGTCGGCCAGGGCGGCCAGGAGGCAGACACCAAACCCGAGCTGGGAGCCATGTGTTGCCAGGACCCCAGTGGCCCCTGCTGAGCTCCTTCATTGGTTCTGACCAGGACAAGGAAATGGGGCTCAGTCTCTTAAGAAGCCTTCCTTGGCTAGCTCCAAACCCAGGAGGGTCCCCAGTCCCTTGGAAGAGGATGCAGTGGCTCACACTTGCCTGGACATGCTGCCTTCCCAGGGGTCACATCCATATGAGACAAATTCACATGGGACAGGTGGCCCCAGAGCAAAACGCTTTCTAAGGAAGGATCTAAGAAGAAGCTCAAGGCCTTCCCTGAAGCGCTGGCCTCACGCGAGAATCCCGCCCTCGCCAGACCCCGTGTCAAATCCTTCATGTGGGAGACAGGCCTGTGCCCCATGCCCTACCACAGGTCTTTGGACAAGCACGAAGCTCCATCTGCTGCTGTCACACCTGGCAGCCATTTCAGAGGAGCCATGGCCTGCCTGGGGTGTCCCTCTATGGGGGATCTGTTCAGGCTGTGACATCCACCAGCTCCCCACTCTATATAACTCAGGGCCACGTTCCCTACAAAACATCCCACCCCACACACACACATACAGTGTGATTAAAGTAAAATTCCATCATATAAATATCTCCATCAAGGAACCATACAGGGAAGACCCAAGTAGCCGTTGGGAACAGACTAGGGTGTTAGTTTTTTAAACAGAGGCATAAATAACTGTACACAAGGTAGTTAAACACACAGTGCCGCAACAGCACCACCTGGTGGTCACTTGAAGTGGTGCACTCAGCAGCGGGTTCCATCTTTCACCCACTTGCCAGGTCTAGCATCGAAGATTTCGTCTCCAAGGGACCAGGGAGGCCCCAGCTTGAGAGAGGAGGCTCCGATCAATCCAGGGTGCTACTTGGTAGGAGGTCAAGTAAAGGGCTTGATGGGGAACGAAGTGAAAAAATAAGATGTGAGGCTGGGGGATACCACTTTCCTCCAGCTCCCCAGGCCCTGTGACCTCAGATAATGCAGAGCTGGCTCCTTGGTTAAGTTCTGTGCCGGCAGCTTTAACCCCTCCTGTGGGCCGTCAGAGGGCTGACATCTCCAGGCTCCTGGGCTGCACTGCCGCCTGGTCCGCTTGTAGGTAAATACAGCACCAAAGGTATCCTCATGAAAGCACTTCTGGCTCTCTTAGGTGGAAACAGAGACCAACGTGTCAAGTCCAGGCTGGGATGAGCCCCTGGGGCTGCCCAGCTTCCCTGTCACATGGACCTTCATGAGCCATCTGTCTTCCCAACTGTCATACTTAGATTGTGCTGGAATCTGGTTTAGAGCCTAAACCCACTCAGCACCTGCTCTGGAGCCGGCCCTCTAACCATCTCCAAAGCTTTACTTGGCATTCCCATGCCCTGCCCAGCGCTCACCCCCCACCCAAGACGCTCCAGGAAGTGTGAGCTCTGAGATAAATACATTTGGGAAACGCTACGTCCTTGCTTTGCTCCCAGCCTTGAAGGGTCCCGACGCACAGCAGCACGTTGAAGCCCCCCAGAAGCCTTGTAGTAAAGCAACGTGCTTGCCTTGGCTTAACTAAGCATGTCCCAGGCTATTCGACCTTGGAACCTTTTTGATGCCAAATATCTACTGACCCATTCAACCCATTTGGGGAAATGCCTGTTATCTCCTCACTGTCCTTCCAACACGCCAGCTTAACTCCCACCCCTGGGCCTTTGTACCTGCTGCCCCCTCCAGAACAGCCCCGAGTGTTTCCTTCAGTATCCACGGGGCTCCTCCTCGCTATCTCAGGTTTATTCTCAGACGCCGCCTTCCAGCTCTGCCTTCCCTGGCCTATTTAAAATTATACTATTTAAAATCCCTATTTAAAATTACACTCCCCAGCGTTTCCTGGGCTGTTTCCTGCTGTTTTTCTCTGAAGCACTACACCTCTTTCTTTTGGGTTTGTCAGCCCCAGAAGAATGTAAAGAATTTTTGCCTGATTCATTTACTGGTCTCTCCCTAGCACACAGTAGGTGCTCAATAAATGTTCAGTTGAACATATGAATGTGTCTTAGGGAGAGTATGGAAGTGACAGTCACAGGCTTTGGAACCACAGAGAGGCAGACTGAACTCTAGGCTCTCACTGCTGTGGACCCCGTAGGCCCCCTTCCCTCTGAAAAGCAGGGTGCCTCCCTCATAAAGTCCTCGGCAGGACTGAATGAAATGCCACATGAAAATCCCTGGCAAGCACTTGGCCCCGTGGAAACCCTTGATAAATATCACTATTATCTTCATCAGTGAAATGCAGGCCCTTGCTGCCGCGGGGATGAGGGTGAGCAGACGCCGGCCTGGGTGTGAATAAGAAGTGTGAGGTTCACACGAGGCTGACGGGGGCAGCCTTGCTCTCCCCTGTGTTCACAGCCTTGCTTTGGCCACACAGATACTTTCTGAAAGGGGGTTTGGGGAGAGGCCAAGGAGACTCTCCTGCCCCCATTCCACAGACGGCAAAATGGAACCCATTCACCCGACTTCCCAAAGCTGCGACCAGTCCAGGATGTGCAGCGGGGCCTTCTGACAGCCCACCCAGCTCAGATCTCAGCCACTGCTAAGATTCTCTTGGGGTCCAGAACTTTTCTGGGCCTGACTCCCCTGGGTCTACCGGCCACCCCTGGTCCTGGCTCCAGTGGCCTGTGCCCTTGGCCAACACCCTCAGCCCACACACCCATTACTATACCTTGAGCTGAAAGAAATAGTCCTCGACCTGCTCCTCATTCAAGTTCAGCTTGGCAGCCACCAGCTGCTTCAGGGTGTGGGCCACATCCCAGGCCATGCGCACATCCCCACAAACATAGAGGTGGCCCGGCTCCTCATGGAGCACACGGAGCACCTCGCTGGCCAGCTGCTGCCGCAGGATGTCCTGAACATAGACCTGAAACCAGAGGAAGTGGTGGGTCCAGTCCCCAGCTGCTGGGGACAAGGCTTGCAGACAGGCCTGCTGGCCTCAGGGAGGCGGGGAGAGGGCACTCAGGGCTGTGGAGTGAGTCCCCTCCCAGCCAGGACCTTGCACGGGGCCAGGCTCAGGATGAGGAGGAGCACAGATGCCCAGGGGGCTGGGCTGGGAGTAGAGAGATAAATGCTGGACACAGTCCTGCCCTCGAGGAGCTGACCATGCAGTGGGGCTCCCAGACTGTCCCTGAATTTGCCATGCTTCAAAGAGGCATCAATAAAGGCAGTCCCCCTACCCAGGGCTCTGTCTGTACTCCAGAAAAGGTAGCCTCTCAATGCAGACTGTCCATCAGGTCTCTGCAGGGTACGGATCCTGGGCTTCCCAGTGAGAAGGTCCAGGAGTCAGTTGGGGACTCTCTCCTCCTACTCCACACGGGCTGCCCACTGGCCCCAGCATTGGGCACAGAGCACTGGACCCGAGAGGTGCCCTGATGGGACAAATGTGTGAGGGCTGAGAGTCTGTTCTGACACCCCAGGCTTAGGAGACAAAGAGGCCCTGGGGGCAGCAAAGCCCGTCTGAGGGACGTGGTGGAAGCATCGGCTGCCCTCCAGCCTTTCTGGGCTTGAGCATAGCCAGCCTGGATCACCTCTCCCCGGGCAGTTGTGTGTCCCGGGGGCCTGCTGGGGACTTCAGCAGACTGGGCTCTGGGGTTAACTCGCGTGTGACCTAGGTTAGTCCTGGACCTCTCCGGGCCTGTTGCTTATGCTGTATGACAGGGCGTAACGCTCTTCACAGCATCACTCTGATGGTTGTGAACTACCTGCATTTTAGAGCTCAGGAGCTGAAGGCTCAGGGAGGCGAGAGGCCCTTGTGGACCC